CTGATCAAAGCAGAATACAGTGGCACTATTACTTCCCTTGATCTAGACTCTACACTTCTATTGATGCAGCCTAGAATCGCATTGGCCTTTTTAGCTGATGCATCACACTGTTGACTCATATTCAACTTGTGGCCTACTAGGACTCCTAGACCCCTTTTACATGTAGTCTTGTTAAGTCAGGTGTCCCCCATCCAATGTCTGTGCAGTTCATTTTTTCTACCTCAGTGGAATATCTTACATTTCGTGCTGCTGGAATTCCATTTTGTTTGAACCTTGGTCTCCAGAGTCGTAGTCACAGTGGCTAACTGCCCAGAACCAAGGCGACAGGCAAGTCAAACCTGCAGGTAATACCCGAATACCTGTTTCCCAGGGGAACAAGATAACACAGAGAGGAAGTTCTCTCACTCTTATGCTGGGGTGTTAGAAACTAACACGACATGGGGACGGTTACAGAGGTGGCCCTTCTGACATGCAGGTAGACGTGTGTCAAAGATTGGTGTAGAGGGAAAAGAGGTCCTGCAGATAGGTCCTTCCTCTGGTTTCTCTGCAACTGCCATGGCTCCACCCTACAAAATCCGGGGATTTGTAGTTTGGGAGACACCAACACTCTTGGGCAGGGGATTGGCCACAGAAGCAGCCCTTCCAACATGAAGGTAAATAAATGCATGTTGGGGTAGGAAGAAGGGTCATGAGGACGGGACCTTTCCCAGGTTTCCCTGCACCTGTCATAGCTCCATCCTATAGATCCCAAGGAAGGGGAAACCAACAAGACATGGGAGTTGACCGTTCCAACGTGCAGATAAACGGGTGCCAAATACACATGTTGGGGGGAAGAGAAAGGCCATGCGGACGAGTCCTTCCCCAGGATTTCCCTGCACCTGCTAGACCTCTACCTTGCAGAATACTGGGATTTGTAGTTTGGTAAGGCACCAGCACTCTTTGGCAGAGGGCTGGCCACAGAGGAGGCTGTGTCGGAGGAGGGGGGTAAGTGTCGAGAGGACGGGTCCTTCCCCAGGTTTCCCTGCACCTGCCACAGCTTCATCCTAAAGACCCCTGGGATTTGTAATTTAGTGGTTTGAGTGTCAATCTAAGACACTGGAGACCAAGGTTCTCATCTCAACTCAGCCAGGAAACCCCACTGGGTGCCCTTGGGCAAGTCACACTCTCTCAGCCTCAAAAGATGGCAATGTCAAAACCCGGCTTTGAAAGAAACATGCCAAGAAAACCTCATGACAGAGTCGCTTTAGTGTCGCCACTTGAAGGCACACAACATCAGGAACAACAACAAAAGAGGCCGTTCTGACATGCACGGGTCAAAGACGCGTGTCGGGGGGGAAAACAGGTCCTATGGGCCTGTTTCCCCAGGATTTCCCCCTACAACTGCCATCACGACTCCATCCTACTACTACTGAATCCCGGGATTTGTAGTTGGGTGATCAATAGAGGAGACCGTTCCGACGTTACAGGCAGACGCGTGTCGGGGGAAAACAGGTCCTATGGCCCTGTTTCTCCAGGTTATGACCCCTGCAGCTGCCACCGTGACTCCATCCTCCTCCTACTGAGTCCTGGGATTTGTAGTTGGGTGAGCCACCGAGGAGGCCGTTCCGACGTTACAGGCAGACGCGTGTCGTGTGGGAGAAAAAAAAAGGGGGGTACCTGCTCCTCTCCTGAGGGACCGCGCTGCGTTGCTGCCGGGGCCCGGCTGCTCCCCCTGGGCCGGGGTCGGGTCCCCTCAGGTCGAGGTCCGGCGGGGGAAGGCGGTCGCTCGCTCGGTCTTTCTGCCGGCCTGAGGGAGGGAACGGCGGCGAGGAGGACGCGGCTCCTTCAACGGTTCTCCTGAACGGGCGTCGAGCGCGGCCGGCGGGCGCCTTATATACCCTCGGAAACCGTCGCCGCGCAACGCTTCCGCTTCCGCCCCGCCCGCCTCATGAATATGCAGATAGGGCACTGAAGGGGGCGGGGCCTGGCCGGTGGACGAGAGAGAGAGAGAGGAGAAGGAAGAAGAAAGAGGAAAAAGCGGGCGGTGGGGTTAAGGAGGCGCTCAGCCAATCAGAGTTAAGGCAAGTCTCCTTGGTTGTTTTT